CAATGCTTTAATTTTGGTTTGGGGACAAAATGTAACTCAAGCTAAGCTGTAATTATTAATTTTGGGGGGGGGGGGGAGGTGGAACTATCAAAGTTAGCATCAACCTTAGCTTCTCTCTATCACTGATTCATCACTCTCTCTATCATTCTCCCGCACTCGATAAAAATAAGTCAACTCTTATAAATATTATAATCTGATCTACTTTATATTTAATTTAATTTATTTATTAAATAAGTTCAGGCCATATTTAAACATTTAATTAAGTCTATTTAATTAAATATGTCAAATTTATTTTTACAAAATCTAACCTGCGTACAAGCCTAGCATACCAACCTATTTGTATATATATTATCATGTAATATTTTACATATACATTAGTTTCATCATTTAATTTTTAATCAATCTATTTTTTATTTTTAATTATATTTTTAGTCATATTGAATTTATATATTTATTTTAATGTTGTTACTTTATTGTTATATTTTAGTTGATAAGTCATTTTAATTATCATATATTATAATTAATAAATCATGTTATATAAATATAGACTTTAATATTCCTAAAGTATGTTTTAGACATTTGAAAATAATAAGTAAACTCATTGAAAAGATTTATTTTTAAATAAGTTTTTAAATATAATAAATTTTCAAATCAAGTCAGATTTTAAATAAATTACGACTTGAATCATTAAAAAATTTTCATACAAGCTTCAAGTAAAGCTCAAGTATTTCATCACCTACACCTATCGTACGAACTCTAGCCTATTTGAACAAGATCTAGCATGGTTTAGTTTATTTTCTCTTCAACTGAGGACTCTGAGTGATGTGTGGTAAAATCACATTTTGACCACAAAAGAAAAAAACTCACATTTTCTTCCCATTGAGAAATAAAAGACTTGAAGCCTTTTATCTTTTTTACAACGCAACAAAACGGAGGTCTTTATTGAAAGTACATAAATGAATGGTTCTGGTTGTTTCGGAGTTCGGACTTTCGATCATAAGTACAATAAACAAGGTAACGATTAAAATAAAACAAAAATGCTGGAAGCGTAGCTTCTAGAAGCAATAACACTTCCTTTTTAAAAAAAAAAACAAAGAAAGAAATTGAAGCAATAACACTTCCGGTAGGAAGCAACTACGCACAGTCTTTCTGGATCGATCTAACAAAACTATTAAAGAAATGAAATAATAAACTTACAAAATGCGTGATGGAGATCATTCTTTTTTATTTATATTTCTTTTCTTTTTGATGTGAGTCAGCAACCACCCACACTTATATATATTGACTTGAAAAAATTCCTTATATATTGGATTCATATAGTTGCTTGTGAGTATAGTTTTGTATTTAAAAATATAAGATATTTTATTATTTTTTAAAAGGTTCAATGTTAAAAAATTAATGTAACATATTTTTGGTATTTTAGGATCTCATTAATGTGTGTGTTTTTTTAAAATGCTCTAAATAAATAAATAAATTATTTTATATTTATTGTTAAATGAATTATATAAAAAAATGATATTAGTTCAAAGACAATTAACTAATTTATTAAAGATGAAATTTAATAAAAAAAATGTCATAATTTTTTAATTGAGGGAGTACATGTTGCCAACTTCATTAATTAATTAATTAATTATGAGTCATACCCTATAGTCTCTAGGCTCCTTAGTCGTAACCATTTTAATTATTGACTATAAAAATTTCCATCATTAATTGCGTGTTCATAATGAATGCCTGTTCTCTTATGAATCTAACATCGTTTATACACTATTGGCCAAAAAAAATATATCGTTGATGCGCGCTATTCGTCATATATTTATTAGTAAATCCAAAAGCTGTAGATATAATTAAGAAAATAAGTTGTAATAAATAAGCTGTCCACCAAACTAGAACTTATTTGGCAATTTCTAGCAGTTTTTTCTACAATTCGTTGTAAGAAATCAAGAGATTGACTACATTGATGCTTCTGTCAAAGAAGGCTACATTGAAAATTGAGGCATATAGGATATATTGTTCATGTCATTGCGGTCGAGTGATCAGGATACTCGTTTAATCTCTTTCTTTAAGGTTCATGTTTTGAAATTGATGTATTTAACTTTTATGTACAATGACTTCTAGTCAACGTTGTTAAATTTAAGAGTTTAAATAAATTTGTGACAGACATGTAAACTCAAAAAATAAAATTATATCGATAAACTTGTTTACCTCTATTAATAAAGATTTTTGAAAAGTATATGATTAAATAATTAAAATATAAAATATAATTATAATTTAATTTAAATGCATTTTAAATATATATCATTGAAATTAAATCCATCTAACTCAACATAAAAATTTTATTTTTGATATTTTTTTATTAATATTAATTTTTGTTTTTTTGAGTTTATTTTTCATTGAATCAGATGTTACCTTTTTTATAAATCAAGTTCTACGTAATATGTACATATTTTGTTCAATAAGTTTATGAATGAATTTGCACAATTTTATAAATTAAAAATATAAAAATAATAAACTCAAAAAGTTAACTCTTGAGTTTAATCAAATTTTATTTAATTTAAATTTAGGATTGAATTAACATGATTTTATAAATTAAAAATATAAAATGATAAATTTAAGAGTTTGACAACAATGCTTCCAATTAAGCCTAACTCATTTAAGTCCTGAAAAAAAGATTCAAGTCCGAGCTGCCAATTTAAATGAGTATTTATTTTTACCCCTAAAAAATAGATATTCTTAGTTTTTTAGAATATGCATTTATACTTTTACATTAGGATTTACATTACTTAATTTTAATTTTTCAACATTATAGTTTATATTTTAAAGAATAAATATGAAATAATATAATGTATAAAAATTAAATTTAAAATATTCAAAAATAAAAATAAATAAAAAGTAGGCTTTCGGACCCAATGTTAAGTTTGATCAATAAAAGCGGCTTAAAAAATTGATCAATTCTATGTTAAACAGACTTTTGGGCGCGGGTCCATGTGAGTCAGGATCGCCCATTTACTACTCATTACTTTTTGTTTTATCGCCACCGTAACAAGCTTCGAAATATGTTGATGGCTCAATAACAATATTATTAATGATATGAGATTAGACGCTTTTTTCAATTATAAGATGGAGTTTGAGTAATTAATGAGTTGTCTTGTATATTATTTATGAATAATCTGAATTACTCCCACCGTCTCAAATTATAAAACATTTTTAGACGAAATCTCATATATCAATAAATCTCATTAAATACACTTAACAATTTTATCTTTTCAAAATAAAAATATAAACTTTTAAAAATACTTATCATTTAATATATTGAAAAGAGAAAAGACCAACATTAATTATAGAGAGTGAAGATAATATTAAAATTGGCACATTTAATAAAATATTAATTTATTCAAAGTATCTTAAATTTTGAAACAGATAAACTCTTTAAAAATGTCCTATAATTTGAAACGGAGATAGTATTATAAATTTCGTTATATATACTAAATACATGGATTGATAAATTGATAAAAAAAATACCAGTATATTACTAATAATAATAATGCATGTTACTAGCAAGTACATTAACTAAAAAAACTTCTATATATAGAAACTGGTCTCGTAAGCAACTGATCGAGGTTGATTCTCAATCTCCGTGTATAAATATACATTTTACCTTTTATAACACTTTTAACTTCATAAAAAAAACGTATAAAGTTTTTTTCGCTGTAGATCCTATATAAATCAAGATCTTATTAAAAAATAGACATTATTTATCATTAGAAATTAGTAATTAGCCATTAAAAGATCCGTTATCAACACAATTGAAAAAACAAGAGAAAAAATATATTTTTTGTCTCTACACTTCGCTCATATTTTACTATAGGTCATGGACTTTTTTTTTTTATGTTTTGAATTCCTATACTTTTATTTTTTAATGTTTTAAGTTCCTAAATGAATAAAGTGTAGGAACCTTGAATAAACGTAAAACATTAAAAAAAAAAAGTGGAGAGATTCAAAACATCAAAAAAAAAAGTTTAGGAACCTATAGTAAAACATGAGCAAAATGTAGGAACCAAAATGTATGTTTTTTCAAAAAATAAAATAAAATTACAAGGAATTAGTTTGAAAATTAAATCAAATTATATATGTATGTACGTATAAAGACAAAAGTATAATTAAATTTCCCCTTTTTTGTATCTGGTCTAATAATAAGGGGGCTTGACATTAGCTGTGTAATAGGTCTCCTTTTATATACTACATATTTTAATTGTTCATTAATGCGGCCTTTTCCAGTTAATAATTAGTTTTCAAACCTCACCCCGAATCATCCACTTGCTAATAATTTTAATTTATATCAGAGAAATAGCAGTTGGCTCATTACCTAACACCCCTCCCCTAAAAAATAGGCTCTTCAATCTTAATCATAGCTTTGTATGTACTGTATATCAACATTAAATATACATCCAATTGGAGTTACTATATTTGTTACCATTGGAACTTAAAATTTGGTCATGATCAATTAATCAACGGCTCTAGAGAACAGGCCAGTGGCCTCCAACATATATATGCAATTTGCGTTTTGCATTTATTTTATACTACTGAAGTTGTTGAAGAATTGATCAGCGTATGGAATATATCACATTTTTGTCAACCAAATAATAACGATTTTAAAATTCAAACCTTCAGTTCCTTAATTAACTACTGAAAACCTTGATGCACAATTAATTAATAAATCTGCGCAAATATTGGTGTATAACACTAGTTGCGTAGTCCGATCTATGGAATAACAAAAAGAACTATTAAAAGATGATCACAAAGTAAAATAGTACAGGTCAGTGATCAAGTTGAAATTGGTAGCCTTCGAGAGTTGCTTCACGGAAGCTAAGTTGATCTGGAGAGGGCAAAAAAACAAAAAAAAAAAATACCTCACCAACCCTTCAATTTTCATTACTTCAGAGGAATACTTGTTCACATTGCATGCGTTGACCTGAACGCGCCTATAAATAGAACAGCATTTCACTACGCCTTTATATTCTCAGCAATCAAGGCTAGAGAGAACAAGTTGCTGAGATTGTTACAATGACTTTCGTTAAGGAAGACGTGCCAAAGGCTCAAGCTGCTGGTCAACATAAAGAAGTGAATCACAAGAGTCTCTTACAAAGTGATGCTCTTTACCAGGCAAGTCTTGGAAATTAAATCTACTGATCCCTTCATAATATGCCATCTAGTTAGCTAGCTCTGAACATTGTGATTGATCCTTGCTTTTTATGAACAATGCATGTCTGTGCAGTATATACTGGAAACCAGTGTTTATCCACGAGAACACGAGTGCTTGAAGGAGCTGCGAGACTTAACGTCAAAACACCCATGGTACGCACAATATATACACACACACACACACACACTAGTTTTGTTACGTTTCGTCCGAGCTTTATTTCAATATATATTGTGAAACAGGAACTTGTTGGCTGTGTCTGCCGACGAAGGTCAGTTTCTGAACTTGTTGCTGAAACTCATCAATGCTAAGAACACCATTGAAATAGGCGTCTTCACTGGTTACTCTCTGCTCGCCACAGCCCTTGCTCTTCCAGAAGATGGAAAGGTCCTTTACGTTATTTACAAGTTACTGTACTATGATTGTCCCTTTCCTTAATTACAGCAACCAATGGTCTCAGTATGTCTGTTTCATACATTTCATGTGTCACTTTCAGATATTGGCCATGGACGTCAACCGAGCAGATTATGAGTTGGGGTTGCCTGTCATTGAAAAAGCAGGCGTTGCTCACAAGATTGACTTCAGGGAAGGACCTGCTCTTCCTGTTCTGGACCAGTTGCTCACAGATGTAAATATATCTTATATTAATATCACTTGCTCATATTAATACAACGTCTCGTGCATGTACTTACTTAATTATCTCGTGATGATCATTAATTATTTTGCAGGAAAAGAATAAAGGAGCGTTCGATTTCATTTTTGTGGATGCGGATAAAGACAATTACTTGAACTACCATAAGAGGGCGATTGAACTGGTCAAGGTTGGGGGATTGATCGGCTACGACAACACTCTGTGGAACGGATCTGTTGCGGACCCACCGGAGATGCCTCAATTGGATTACATAAAGTACTATCGTGGTTTTGTGTTGGAGCTGAACAAGGCCTTGTCCCATGACTCGAGCATTGAGATCTGTCAACTTCCTATTGGTGATGGCATTACCCTGTGCCGCCGCATCATCTGATCACCACAACACTTCGATCGTTAATCTGCCCCGCCCTATAATTAATTAGCTTCATTATCTTGTGTCTACTCTCCAACATGAAACAAGAATAATAATACAGTGGGAAAATAGTTAATGTGGTTTCGTGTATATTTTTCCTGGTCATTGTTCTATTCATCAATCAGATTGATTTCCTTCTGTTTGTTTTCGGTATCGCAACGCTCCCAATTCGTTCGAGTGTTCGACAAAGCTGATGAAGCACAAATTTTTTTCTCTCCTCAAAATGGGCTTAATTTGAATGTCTAATTAATGTAATTTTTGGTCCAGTACAACACTTTACAATAATTTTAAAAACAAAGAAAAATTAAAAAGGGCCCTACTGATTATGATATAATTGTGAGAGGATAGAAAAAGAATGCAGCAAATTAAAGTTGTGTTAGCAGACATTAGAAATCTAAAACTGACATACTTTGATCCGGACAAAAAAAAAAGTAAATGATGAAATGAAATGAGAAATTAAAGGAGATAGAGTTAAAGTTTTCTTCTATGGTGAACAAACTTTTTGGAATGAATTAGATAATAAATTAGAATATATTTATTTGGTGGTGGAATCTTGACATCATTTTCCCAACCCGGATGATTAATTTTACCTACCACGGGCAGGCCGGGATATGTTCGATAATGTATAAATTAAATCAATATATTTTTCCCGATAGAGTCAAAGATCATAATCATATTTGCTCGGACCCGTCCACCATAAAATTTTCAATAGGGCTTTTGTCACACAGTGGCTTGGTCGTGTAAAACACTTGACGTTTTACATACATTGTTCAAGTGATCAATACGCTCTAAAGAACCCAATTTTACGAGAGCTCATTTGGTTCGTTCCTTTTGGGCATGTTGATAAATTAATTTGTACTGGTAATATAGTTAATTAATAACGCGCTTCTCATCAAGAGGATGATAGGACCTAATAAGTACAAACAAGTAATCGGATATTATATTTTTCTGGCCTGATGAAGTAATTGTTACAATAATAACATACTTAATTACTCATTAACATCTGGATCAGACATGTCCAAACCACGGTGAAAATGAGATGCTGATTAATTGGATGGTAATACCCAACAATAACTCGAATAGGATTACACATGTGCTTAATATAGCTTAGTTAACCACTAGATAAGTCTGGTTTTATTGCTTTTTACTCCGATAGATCTCTGACAATGAAGGTCAATGAGGTGGTTTAAAGAGGATATATTTGGTGATCTATTGGCTCATCAACCTGAAAGGATCGGATTACATTAAAAACAAAATGGAGTTGTTCATGGGTTTAGTTATTTCTATTTAATTCTATATAATAACGACATGTCTTTTTGGTTATAAATAACTCTGTTCTGGAGACACAATGTCAAAAATTTCGTTGGAATGTCACAATCAATAACCCACTTTTAACTATTATTTTGCCGTGTTGACATATTACTTTAAATTTAATTGCAGTGGGTGCCAGTGAAAAGATACCCAGTAATTTGACCACGTCCCTATCTAATTCGTTGATTCTCCATTTACTTCTCATATTTAAGCACAGTCACATAAATCCATTCTTGACTTGATTATTTCATAACAATAAATAATAATCTTAAAGGACTATAAAATGCAAGTGCTATAAAAAAAAAAAAATCTAACATGATGGAAGCTTAATTAACAGTGTAACACATTTTCAATGATGAAGCAATTGTTTGTTTTGATGTTGGAGCTGATACTTGATATATTATTTTTCATTTTTTATGAGATGTTTTTATTTAAATTAAATTTAATACATGTCTTCAGATTGAAACAAAAATTTAATGCCAAGAAGAATCAGCCTCAAAAAAAATAGTAACTATCTCTATTAATAATAACTTTTAAAGGCAACTATGACAATAATCCTTAGACGCTAACACAATTGCTGGGATAAAAATTAACGTAAAAATTTCAGAGAATACATGATCATACAATAACTATTTCAACAATGCAGAGAATACATAGTACAGTATCCAACATAAAAAGAACAAGCAGAAGGGCAAGGAAAACACCAACAACATAATAAAACCAATAAACGTAACGTTAAACAGACAACAATTATACCAAACCATAAAAATCTTGCACTGAAGAAGTAACAATACCCATTGACATTATCTTTAAGAAGAAGTGCGTAACGTAAATAGGAGGGGGGTGATGACGCCCAATTCTTTTAGGTTGCATTTAAATTGGTAGATTTAAGTTAAAAATGTAGATTTAAAATTTCGTATTTGAAATCTCACATTGTTTATATGATATAAAAAATTTTAAATTATAATATTAAAATCTTTTATTTGAATTTAAAATAAAATTTTAAATTTTAAATTCTATATTTAAATTTAAAAAAAACTTGAACGACGGCGACAGTTCATTTTTAGTCAAAGTCGATGGTCTGCATGGCAAACTTTTACTGAGATTGAACCAACAGTAATGATCGGGATAGGATGGGCGACTTTCATCGGGATCGGACCGACAATGATGATAAGGACCTTATGTTCGACTTCTATCAAGACAGGGCCGACAGGAACCAAATGGTTGACTTCCATCAAGATCAAGCAAAAGGCGACAATAGAGACATGACGGTAGACTTTCACTGGGATTGACCCGATGGCAATAACTGTGACTAGACGATCAACTTCCACCATAAAGCTGTCGAGTCCTGGTGGAAGGTGGCCGTCCAATCCTGGTGGAAGTCGGTCGTCAAGTCCCAATAGTTGTCATCTGTTTGGTCCTAATGAAAGTCAACCGTTCAATTTCGATTGTTGCCGATGGTGCAATCACAATAGAAGTTAGCCATCCAATCTCAGTCATCATAGTTGATCCAGTCCTAGTGAAAGTCAAATGTTTGGTCCCTGTTGTCATCATAGGTTTGATCTCAAAAAAATTCAACCATCCATTCTCAGTCATCATCATTTGTCATGTCCCCATGGTAGTTGGTAGTTCGATCTTGGCCAACAATGACAACTTGATTTCGTCAACTTCGACGGTCTAGTTCAATTATCATTAATAGGCCAATTAAGCTTTTATAAATTTTGGTCAAATTATAAAAAAAATTGAATTAGGATTTAAAATAATAAAAATTTAGAAAGCATTTTAAATTACAACATGATGCAAAATGATCAATCGTTTGATAGATTTTGAGGATTATGCGCAAGAAACCCAATACTGTTTCACCATGTAGAGCCCAATATATCCTGTAGCTGTTGATCCACTTGCCACGTGCACACCTGGGGCCTAATCAATTTGATTCTTGAAGTCCAAAAATTGAAGCCTCATGTGTCATGCGTCTGCTGAAGGATCACCATGGATCATCTTCCATATGGCTTGAAAACTCTGTCACAACTCACAAGAACATATTAGCAATATTATTCTTGACAATTAATGATTCATATGAGCAAATCTAGAACCATCACTTCCATATGGCGTAGATATTATAGGAAAACTAAGACACGACGCCCATAGAATTAAACTCAATGTTTTGTTCTGCATCTCTTCTCATCAGAGACAATTTTAAGAAATATGAAACTAAACTATTGCTAATATCTTTTAAGCTATTGTCGTAACGTAATTCATTGGGGAAAAAAAAGTTACCAGATTTGAAAAATTAAATTGTATACTCCCCCCGTTAAAAAATATAAAACACTTAAGTTTTAACCGAATCTTATCCTCCAATAAAAATAATTATTTATCTTCAAACTAATATTATCTTTTTATATATACTTCTATTTAATAGGGTGTTTTACTCTAAAATATATATCAAGTAATTTATTTATTAAAAACATTTAAAAAAAAGATAATGATTATAACTTGAAGTATTACAAGTTTATTACATTTTAATTTATTATATTTTTTACTATCAAACCTCTTCAAATCTCTCAAAAAAATGTATTACGTCTTTTAAGGGAGGCAGTATATTATTAAAAAAATACAAACGTAATTTTTAAGGACATTTCATTTCTAAATTAGTTTAACCAAGAATTGGGGCGCAACCAGCCAGGAATATTGGCCCAATTAGCCCAACAAGAAATAAGGATGCAAATGGGCCAAACAAGTTTAAACTAGGACTGGAGGGGTACACCAGGCTCAAGCAGAAGTTGCGAAGCATGGGCGACGCTCAAGGATCCCAATAGCAAGCTATTATAGCGGGCCCTACCCCTAGAAAAATTAATTTAATATCATGTGGGCCTATGGCCCACTATCAGATATTAAACTGATAAGAACAGATACTACACTTGATCTTAGCCAAAAGGCCGAGAAAGGTATGCCCTGGGAATAGCCTTCGCTTGAATTTCATATATGTTTGTGTGTCCACTGTGTTCAGTTCTACTCGAGGTGGGACCCCATATACACAGCTTCTTCTTTTTTTTTTTTTTTTGGGCCAGCATATACGCAGCATAAGAATGAAGATTTATACTGGAAATAAGAATTGGAATTCGTTGCCACTTGATTCATAATAGATTTATAAGTCAAAAATTTGTCACCTTGCTTTTTATAGTTTGATTGTACAGAAATTTTTAGATTTCCTTTACACTTGAGCTAGAATGATTCCCCTTTCATATGACCTCAAATCTAATTTATAATATATACATATAATACTGTCAATTTACTTATTTTCTTTTTCAATGAGAAATTCAAATGTTGATACGAAATTGATGAAGATATAATTTTTCTTTTTCTTTTTCTTTTTTGTCAAAGATGAAGATATGGTTACAAATTATAAACTACTTGAATAAGAACAAGAGAAAAGTGTAGAGAGGATAAATGATGCTCATTCATTTTGAAAGTTGAGGCATTTAATACATGCTTTTTGTTGATCGACTTCTAACCATTTTAAAATTCCAGATAGTCAATAAAAAAATTCCTCTACTTGATTAGTTACAGACACTTTTTGATAAGCATTTGCCATATACAGACTAATCCAAAATTAATTTACATGTTTATATACCTCGTGGAGCCACAAGATAAACATTAGAAAACCATTCATTTGAAAGTTAGAAAATAAGGAGAATGACAATAAAGTCCCCAAAAAATAAATTAAAGACATTTAAGTCCTCAATAAATAGGAATCTAAATTTCAAACTAATTTTTATATTTAAAATTTAAATAACATATTTGCAATTGAAACTTTTAAATTTATAACTATGTGAATTAATATTTATAATTAATTTTTTAAAAAAATTTGTCAAGGTTTGGAACTTAACTGTCATTCCCCCTGAAGAATATAGTAATGTCATTAAACATGAAAATAAATCTTACAAATTTTATTTTTGGAGGTCATGAATAATCACATAATATTATAATATTCCAAACTCCTTTTGTTCATCAATGTCATATGTCGTGCCTTATTAAAATTTTGCTCACAAAAACTAATGAGATGTAATAAAAAAAAAGAGTACACAATTTTTTTACACTAAGAAAACATAATATTTACATTATTTAAAACCTTTCCGTAAATATTTGAATATGATTTATAATTTTAAAGATTATCTATACCTCAGTCAACATTTAAATAATTTGCATGTCACTCTCCTATTGGCAAAATTAAAATTCAACTACTAGCATAAGATAATGCCTACAAAATTTCAAGATATTTTATTTATGTTATCTTAATACATCAATTTTTTATTTTGATTTATTTATTTCATGTTATTTTACTTTCTTTTTAGAGAAAATGACAACTAAATCCTTTGACAAATGATAAAGTAATATCACGAAATGGGATAATTAGGCTTAAGTCCCTATAACTTACCTGTCATAATTTTTTTAGATAATTACGTTTATGAAAATAATAGAAAGCGTTGTGGCTGTTAAAACTTAAAATAAAATTGTTAATAATAAAGATAAAATTATTAATATAAAAAACATAGCTGTTATTGTATAATTAAATTGAAATTATGATCAATTATATTGTTAATACTTAAAATGAAGTTGTTATTTACCAAGTTGAAGTTATTAATATAGAAAACATGCTTATTATTGCATTTTATGATACTTATTTATCATTTGCAATGGAATTTTTTTATCATTTTCTTTTTTTATATTATTCCAGGGTCATTTAACCATTCTAATGAATTGAAAAATCTATGATTCTGTATTTCCGACTTACCGTGTCCGCAATCTGAATCTCCGCAAAACTAAAACTAAAACAGCAATGCAAAAGCCAAATATGGCCATCTGTTTTAAATTTTAGTAAGTAAAAAAAGAAAGTACAAGAAAAATGTGACACGATAAAGTTGGAAGAAAACGTGGCAATAAGAAAGGCTGCGTAAAACGATGACGACAACATGAGAACACACTTTTTCCCCTTTTCCTTCGGTATCAAGGACAACCCACACGAACCCATTTGATTTCAATTCCCAGAAGATTCCTGATTCTCCTCCCTCCTTTGAGCTCAGAAGATTCAGGGCAATGGAACTAGAGGCCAAGATTGATCGCTTACCCATTGACTTGTTGGCTCATATTTTTGGTTTCTTCTCTTCCTTCACTGATTTGGCCCAGTAAGTTGGCTCTATCGTTCCTTCTTCTTGCCTGTATGCTTATTTGTCGTGTTCTTCGTTTTTTCCTGTCAATTCATGTGCAAAAATTTCAAGGGCGAGTAGTGTGTGCAAGAAATGGAAACAAGGGGCCAGGGAATCTTTGGCTTGCAAACAGAATCTGAGCTTTGCTGGCTGGAAAATGGATGATGAATCCGCCGCTCGCCTCGTTTGCGATGCTTACAACCTCAAAAGGCTTGACATGTATGTCTCTTTTTGTTGTGTTATTGATAATACTGTACTTGGTATAATGGTTTTGAACATCTTCCTTTTGGGGGTGCCTCCCAAGTTGTCAGTAACAAGATTATTCAACTTATTGTATGATACCAGTGTTTTCTAACAAGTTAAGCGATGAGTTTTCAGAGTTTCAGTGATATATCATACATTGAATGGCCAATTGAATTGGAGCTAATATTTGGAGAAGGGTAATACTTTGTTCATGAGTTCATCCCAGGATGTTTGAGCACTTGGGACTTCATTGTGTTTTATTTGAAGTCAAGAACCCAGCATTGTGGCAATTATGGTGACTTAAATTAGGACAGCATATTTTAGACGATAACTCTGTTCATTTCATGGATAAAGCATGTGTCAAAGACTGTCCTACAAGAAAGTATTCTCACTCTTTCCTGAAGAGTGTTGCCAACTTCTTGACAGCCGAATAGCCGATTATTGTTCGTTTTAGATGATAACTTCTTTAACCACCTTACATTATAGGGCATGTCTCTTATATGCTGCTTTCAGAATTTCCTTTTTAATGACCCAATTAAGCCATATATTTAACCTTTGATTAACGATTTATGGAGGCAACTGGTTGACACACACACACACACACGATAGTGCATATATTTGTTAAAAACAAATTCTGTTTCTTACCCCAGAAATTGCAGTGATTGAACAAATTAGATTAGACGTGCTGCTTCATATTAACCATTAAATCATTCATCTAAAGATGGCCTTGACAGTGATCAGTTGAAAAGCTAGCTAAAATTACAGACAAGCAAAATCTGATATTTGACAATTTCACACTTGCAGTAAGATGATGGCTTGTGGCGTGTGGTTGAACTGTAGTACGATTTCAATCAAGCAATATCTAAAATCCATTGTATTGTTTGTTTGTCTTTGGATGATGTTCTTAGCCCAAGGAGCTGTTGGGGTTGCCAAATAACTGATAGCGGACTTACCAAAATATCTTTGGCGAAGTGTGTAGGCAATCTCACATCCATCTCGCTCTGGGGTTTGACCGGCATTTCAGATGAAGGAGTTACTCATTTGGTATGTCATTGTGCTGTGCTTTTGCAGCTTAGATACAAGTTATTCCTTGGATTCCTATATTAGGTAGTCTGTGCTCAACGTAGCAGTTGTTTCCATGTTATATTATATTTTTAAATATGAGGCATTCGTTAGTTCCACTTGGTTAAGCACGTGTTTGGAACAAAACATGATTTTATTACTTCTTACAAAACATCGTTTTGGCAAGATCAAAACGTGGTTCCAAATACTGTAGAACATATGGGGTGCAGTTGGACGTGTCTCAGGAATTCCGTTCTGTTCATCATTAACTACTGGCTTGTGTTTTTGGTTTTCAGAACATATCTCTCGTTGACGAACTGGTAGATTTGGTTTTCCCACATATTATTATAATTTTGATTCGTTTTGCTTCTCTGTTGACAATCACTTGAACAGGTATCCAGAACCAAATCCTTACAACATTTGAATGTTGGTGGCACGTTTATCACAGACGAATCCTTGTTTGCCATTGCAAGAAGTTGCCCCAGTTTAGAGGTAAGTTTGAAAGAAGTTGAAACATTTGATTTTTTTTTTTTGGTCTATGATATTAAAAAAAAATAAGTTTCGCATCTAAGAATTAGAAAGTATATTAAAAATATATAAAATTTAGAATATATCTATCCAATTAATTTAAACTGTTCTGATGATGTAAACAATTCTCAAGCATTTTTAATGTAAAGAATTTGACATGCCATCATAACCATATAACACTTACGAATTTTCCTTTACTCTTCTCAACCAGAAAAGCAAAGATAATTATGGCAGACTGAAAGGGTTTTAAAATATTTTATAAAATTCAGCCACAAGATTTTTTTTTTTTTTTGGGAAAAAAGATCTGAAGTTACAACTATTTGCTAGGAGTGGTTTCTCTTTGTCTCCGCTTAGTTTTTGCTAATCTAGTCCTCAATATTAAGATTTGGGATCCTCTACAGTGGTGTTATAAAACATTAATAGAGAGGATATTAAGGAGTAAGAATAAGTATGAATCTAATCTTCTTTCCTTCACGTTTCTTCTTTTTCCACTTTATCTCTTCCCTGCAACACTACATAAAATAATTTATTTAAGACAACTACTATTGACTTCAAATTCAAATGGTTCTTAAATGTGAAGAGCATATCTATCAACGTTCTTCATACATTGCTGCTTCCTACTTTTTTACAGACCATTGTCCTGTGGTGCTGCCGTCATGTAACTGAAAATGGACTTTTTGTGCTGATAGATAAATGTCACAATCTCAAGTCAATGAACCTCTGGGGAACAAGAATTCCTGTGGATTGCCCCAAAAAGCTATTAATTTTAAGGCCGGCCCTTCAGATCAAAGTTTAATACCATATCTCTCTGTTGTATGTTGTCCAAAGTGTTCAGTCAAACAAGTATTTTTCACCTTCTTTTATGTAGAGTTCCTGTATAAGAAGTATTCCGTTGTGATTATGCTTATTCCCGATCGATGTATGAATTTGTTGTAATTTGTAAGTAACGAATTCAGTTTGCAACTAAAGATGTAATATTGGACTCTATTTTCTGCAGTCTACCTACTAACATGGGTTTGTACATGAATTGAGTGAGTTAGATTCATGTGTTCTTTGCATCCAAACATTCTTTTTCTGAAGTTGTTAAGCAACTAAGCAAGAACAGCCTGTTTAAACCAAGATCAAAACCAACATCATACAAAATGCTCCGTTTAATAGCCATTCAAACCTCATACAGGTTCCCCTGTTAAATTCGCTAGCTAGTGTTCCATATCCATTAGAAAATTTGGCAAAATGTACGAGCCAACACTTCCGCTTCAATATGAATACAATAATAAGGACCAGCTAGAGCAAGGAAATTCAGTAGATGTAAGTTGTTAGGATACAAACATGACAAACCTTAATGATTGGGGGCTTCCATATTATACAGATCCTATATCGCAAATTCCCTATTATGCCGTGGAATAACAATGCCTTGGTAGGTTGTACAAAACCTGAAATGCAAGAGGAAGGAATAACTAAAATAGCAGAGTGCCGGAATGGGGATCATACGATTTTGAGAGCGTGCAAAAATAATCGAACGGGAAACATGAAGCACAAAATCTAAATAAATGGTTTATTGAAAATTTGCATTCATGTCAACAGTATTAATTTTAATCTTCTCAAATATTAAGAGACCTGGAGCAAGTTTCATTAAAGGAGAAAGAACAAAAAAAGCAAAGCAACCACTAATAGAGCCCACATGAGCAAAACATTTACTGGTCAGATCTAGCGGCACAAGAGCTAGGGTGTGGCAAAAGAAAAACCTCATGACGTATTTTCCACAAAAAGTTCTGCAAGCTCAATAACTATATCATCAGATTGCCAGAGAAAAAGGGAAAGCCCTCTGCTACATGACATATAATATCCATCTATCTTCGTTATAGTAAAACAATACTTTTCTCTCATACACGAGTGAGTAAATGTTCGAACCAAAGAATTCTTATATTCAGCCCACACCCCTCGCTACCAGACCATCAACTATCAATGTGGTAAGGGAGATTATCCAGATATGTCACATGCAATAAAAAGGATAAGTTCAGCAGATAAGGTCCTAAGCTAAGAAGAAAGAAAATGATTATCGAAATGAGATATTTTCAAAGCTATAAGTCATACCATGCAGCGTCAAAAAAACTATCACCACGTCGAAATTTGTCGAGGGAAAATCTTAAGCATGATGGGCTGGAAAACGTAATAAAATTACACATTTGGAAATCATTGTCATCAACTTTGCATATATTCAATAGTTGAGTCTAATATTATATCCCACATCGAAAGGACGTAGAGAAGGTCCTGAGTATATAAGCGGGTGAACTGCACATCCCACTGAGCTAACTTTTTGGAGAGAGAACAATGGCCTTGTGACAAAATGATATTAGAGCTAAACTTGGGTTTGCCCATTTAGTGGGCTCTTCCAATGGGCCACTTATGATGGGGGTATCACAGATTGGCCGAAGAAATTGTTATGTCCCACATCAAAGGAATTTGGGGAGGATCCTGGGTATATAAGCGGGTGCATTGCACACCCCACTAAGCTAGCTTTTTGAAAAAAAGTAATAGTCCCATGACACTAAGTTGATAATAATATGTGAGGTAACATGTCATTAGGGTACCAATAAAAAGAGAAATCAAACAATACCATCGGATTGTCATCAATTCTTTGGCACCACACTAAGTTACTAACAACAATCACAGGAAGGTGCAGCACGGCTCAAATTTGGGAGGGGGGGGGAGCAGCAGAAAATCAGACTTGGAAAATGAAAAGAGAAAGATGTCAAATATTGCATCAACACGTAGCATCTAAAGAAATAATTTCCGACGAGAAACAGGACATTCTTGACCCATTTTGATAGTAATAAACTCTGCAACAGGGCCAGATTGATTCCTTTCCCTTCCCCTGTCTTCCAAAATAGAGAGAATAAAGCATTTACATCAAAGAAAAAGGGTCTATAAATTTGATGCGGAACTGTATCTATTACTTTGTCATCTTGTCTTGCAGACAGCCTTGAAAATTTCTAATTAATCATTTCCAGTTATAAACTTAGCAGTCTATGAGGTTTCAAATGTGTCTCAAATTTCAAACTCATAAATGCAGTCATCATAAAAGCATCTACAGGTTTCAAATACATTCAGCTTTTACAGTAGGCGCAAATTTTCGTACATTTAGCAGCCCTAATTTGAACAACCGAAGCTCAGCCTTCTAGCATGTGTTTACTCATAAAGTTAACCTCAGTATGTGCGTTTGAAACTAGAAAACCAAGCTAGAGCTTACAAAGTGCCAGAGCCTCCAATTGCCGCAGGTTGAATCACCAGCTTCCCTGGAGGAAAATAATTCCTAATTCCAATTGACTGTAAAGATTGACGATAGATATTAGGCTGTGTTCTTCAGCTAATCAAATTTTTATCAACTTAACATACCCAAAATAAATTTGGTCATTAATTATACACCTAAACCATAGGTAGACACCTGACAAGAATCAATATGTGGAAACTCCTTTTACAAATAAGATGAATGAAAATAAGAAAACAGAAATGATAAGCCAATGCAACAAGAGAGAGAAATTGATGAATCTTCATCCAGAGTTGCGTTATGAAATCAAGCTATACAGCAAACACACATACCTGAACAGCCTCTAGCTCCCTGCACATGCTTGATCTCTCTTGTTAAGTATCTACCCCAGATGACTGAACAGACTCTTGAATATAGCCTCATCAATCTCAAAACTTGGTTATCTCATTTTCTAACAGTTCCATAACATTTCATAGATGGAGCAAAGCTACAATTTATATACTAAGTATTGGAAGCCCCTCTTAAAGATACAAGACGAGGAGAAAAGTCATGATAGCTGTAACAAAACTACAAAAATAAATGGAAAATACAGGAGGAGAAACATCCAATTTGGAAAATAGACAGCAGAAGCTGAATTAGTGAATTGAACAGATCCAGTAAAGCTTCCAGAACTTCCAGCAGCATTGGCCACCGGACTTGTACTAGGTGTAGTAGTGTTCTTGCAAGAACCAAAAGGTGCTCCAGCCTGCAAAATTCATGTAATTATGTGATTGTCTTCAAGCATTTCTCTTCATCAAAATGTTCAGGCAGAAGCTGCAGCAGCAAGTAGAAACCTACCTTCGTCCAGGATTCCATCATGTTATCAAACCACAAGAAATGTACAAAAAAGGAATCTGAATCTACTTTTGCCCAAATGTGTGCCACGTGGTTCAGATTGTGTAGTTTAGAACTCCATGGCATTTCAATCACAAGGAATTTGAATTGTAGCAATTCAAATTCCAACTCTTCGTTTGGACAATCCTAGTATTTAAAAGTTTTTTTTATACGTAAACTTGTGTCTACATAGTGTGTGCGTATAAATGCCCAAGTCTCTACATGTGTGTATGTGGGTGAACTCACTCGCGTGAGTGCATGCATAAGTGTAACGTCTGTGCAAGTGTAGGTGCATATACATGCATGTATTCATATGAGCAAGCGTGTGCAAAAAAAATGTTACAAGAAGCTAATGGTGCACAAATGAGGAAGGAGGGAATTTTCAAATTCTACCTATAATAATGAAATTTTGAATTCTTCCAAAAGTATTCAATTAAGTTAGCAGAGAAATTTATAAACTCAAACAATAGTTCAAAAAATTGAAGGAACTTTTCAACGAATTAATTCAAAAATCTCAGGACCCAACCCCCCCAAAGATGATGATGATGATAACAACTCTGCCAAAGCACACTATAAATAATCCATAAACTAAGGAGACAATTCAAACATATTAATATTCCTCAATGACTAAACCTTTCTAGCCATCATCTCAAGTCAAGCAATTTACCTATCGCATGGCTGTTGTCTACAAAAGCTTTTTAAAAAAATCATTTATAAAAGGAAGAGAAGGTCATGTTTTAATTGGCGACTGCTGAATAGATGACCAATTGTCTAGTATATTCGGGAGGACTGCCTAAATTAAGTTGATGTTACTTCCGGCAGATGATTTATAGTCAACCTTGGAGAATATCATTACAAACTACAGGGCCTGACATTTCTTGTTAAAGTTGAACAATGAAAATTGAATATGTTCTGGAAATTTTCGGCATATTGAAAAAGTATACCCACTTAAGCTTCCACTCACTATTGTATGACCAGAAGATAAATGTGAAAATGAAATTAACAGGGTACAAAAGATGGTTCAGAGGTTGATACATGATCTGATAAGCAAAGCAAACAAACCTGGCAAGCGATGACTGTACTGCACCCACACAATGAATGGCCATTCATTTTATCCACAATATCAAAAACACCACCCCCATCGCTCCTCTGCATGGCATTTCAGTCAGAAAGTGGGTTTGCAAAACCTCTACTCCAAAGATATAAATCAAGAATTTAATGCCTTAAAAGTCTACAACAGTAAGGAATACCATGTAAAAATTAACTGCTACGAAATTGGGAAGCACATTCCCTGCAGCTTTGTAACATGTATTCACCATCTCTGCAAGTGGAGCTGAATGCTCCTTGCATGAATCAGCTTCAACTGGATATGTTGGAAAGTAGTTCTGCAAAAAAAGTGACTCACTCCTGGAATTCAGGGGCTTTGATTCTTTTCTGTGTGGGCAAGACCCCCGTTGAACTCCAGGATCTCCAGCTGAAAGTTATTAGGAGGTTTTCATTACATATTATGCACGATAAACAATGAATATATATATAAAAGTTACAATGATGTTGTACATACACTCATTTTCAACCATATACTTCCACTGATAAGCTATTCCTTCTTCAGCTTCCTTTGAAGCAACAGATGTAAAAACAAGAAGTCGGTGATTTGCTTGAACCATTTCTGTGACAGTGGGCCAATCTTGACCCTTTTTTGGCATCTTAGACACAGGAAACCAATATTTACCCAGTCCAGCATTAGCAAATAGATTAGTCAACCCCTTAGGAGTTTGCACATAATCTTCAATAATAATGGTGACAATCTCTTTTGGGTTTTCAGCCAGGAATGTCTCAACCTCTTTCAATGTATTTATTGCAGGTTGCTGTGATAGTTTTCATTGACATATTAGAAAAAGCGCCACTAAAGAATAACCATGAAAGCAAATTTAGATTATAAAAGAAGTAGGAATAAGGATTAGATTACAAAGGCAGTGAAGTTGAAGCATTGCCCCTTGAACGAATGGCAGAGCCAGATATCATTCTGGAAGTCGTACATATCTAACATCAGTCCCCTCACTCCATTCTAGCAATATTCACCAAGCAAAAGTATAAGAACCACTGTAGGAAAAATTTGATAACAACGAAGGAACAGGCAGATAAGATTTCATAATCTTGTATGGTTGTCACTCGTCAATGTCAGTGATGGTTTAAAAAGGAAATCCTCAACAGAACTTAACAAGAATACAAGCCATAACCCAACCCCAAACAGGTGAAGAGAGAAGCAAAAATAAGAGTAAATATACAATTTAATCCACGGAAAAGGTAACTCCTTACGTTTTAGTCCTTAAATCTATTTCTTTATACAGATGAACCCCTCATAGGTTAGAATTCGTTACATTGAATCAGTCCTTTACAATAGAGCAAATATATAATTTGGTCCAATGGGGGATTAAAATATAGTCACAAACTTTGAGGGAGTAACTCATGTAAAGGAATAAATACATTAAGTTTATGATCTTTGAAGGACAAGATTGTATATTTACTCAGAGACAGTACCAGACAAAACAAGAAAAATGATCAGATGTTAAGTTTTCCCACTTACCCTCAACTGGTTAGTCACAGTATCCTCTTGATTGTAAAGTGTTAGCCTCTGAACGCCCGGCAAAGGCGGTGCATCAACGATGCTGAATGAATTGTGAGTGACAATCCACGTGTATTTGTTGAATGGCAAGTCATTAATCTACATCACGAAAAGTGAAAGTTGAGAAGAAAAACAGCTGAGTCCAACGCCTAAGTCGCAAATGACAAGAGCACACGAAAACAACAAACTCAAGAAGTAAAGCTAAAAATATAAGACTCGTATCACTAAATGTATGGGTAGAGATCATTACTATAGCCGTCGGAATGGTGGCTTGACCTCGGGTACAGACAGGTTGCGTGTGACCCAGAGCAGGGCAGTTGCCACAATAGAGACCTGACCCGCAATCTGTAGCCGCCGAACATGGCTCCAAAACCTGCGAATTGTAGTGAAATTGAGCTCAATTTGGACGAGAAGAAAGGGGGAAATCCACGGATCTCATGAAAGCAAAAGGACCTGACAATTGCCGTTGGAGCAACCAATGGAAGTGGTGAGGAGTGAGGAGAAGAGTGACAGAAAGAGCAAGCCAGAGCCAATGGAAGGTGCTCTGCATTGGCTACGGTAGTACATGGCCGGGAGCTATGCAGAGACCAGAAGCCAACGGCAGTCCGGCAGAGAGAGAGAGAGAGAGAGAATCCTAGAGAGGCTGATAGGTGAAAGAAGTGAGAAATTTTTAGAGCGAAAATCGTCAATGAAAGCGTTGCCCCCCACCACGTTTGTCATTAAAAAAAACTAAAAATTTAAAAAAGTGATTAATAAGAGTATTTTTTGCTTTTTAATTGGAACATGGTTGGTGACGTACTGACATCCTTTCAGGTCAATGCTGAGGAACAAACCTTGTCCTCGCCGAAGACGAGGAGAAATTAATTAATAAAAATAGGGAATTGCAGATAAAGAATTGGAAGGATGACATATAAAGAACTGAAAAAATAATAACTTCGTCCAGTGAAATTGATAATCACTCTGAAGTGCCAAGCAACTTATTACATTTCCGTGTGAAATTACTTTAACACTATTCTGTAATTAATTTTTATATAATTCATAAATTTAGTATAAGTATTTATAAGTTCATTTCTTGAATGATTGATTTAAAAAATCATAACTTTCTATTAACTTCAAATATCAATGTCTAATTAGTTTTATATTATATACAAGTTTCATATAAGTATTTAGAAATTTAGTTTTATCAATGATTAAAATTATTTAAAAAATCATAACTTTCAATCAATAATTTTTCTAAATCAATAAAATGTAATTAATTTTATGTCGTTTATAAATTTAATATAAATATTTACAAGTTCATTTTTATCAATAATTAAAACAATTCACAAAATCACAACTTTTTAAAGCACAAATAAATTTACCTGCAATTCACCTTAAGAGTTCTCACAATTGGTGCCACTTTGCAAGTCAGTCCCAAGAAGTGTTCCACTGAGTCTCTCTCCTTCTGGACATGCTTTTCCACATGGTGGAGAGGTTGGGGAACGCACTGTCTTGGGATGCTTCGGGAGCCACCCCCAATAAATTAAGCCTAAGAACATCTTCGGACAAAGTCGACTCGTCAAAGAGTAAATAATGGGATATACATTTAGCACAAATTAAAATTTTAACATGTTAAATTAAATTAACGAAAATATGTATAATTGCTAAAAATATTATTTATGTATAATTATGGACAATTATTTATTTATTTGCTTAACGTAATATCTCTTTTCGGCCTGGTTTAATCTTTTGGTTTTATAAAAGATTTTTTGAAGACCTTAACCCAAATTCAAATCATTTAACGTTCGTGAAGACATGGCCCCATACTAGATATTCTTACACTTCAACGGTTAAAATACAAAGTTCATGTTTTCTCCGGTTACGATGCTAACCCCATTGTATTTTGCATTTCCGCAACTCCGGCTGAGTTGCACAGCTTTAAACTTGCGAAGGCACGTTATAAAATATCACGAAGCATTCAACACTGAATATGAAAGAATGAGATGCCGATTATTAAATTTCTCCTTTAGATCTTTTAATACTTCAGCCTAGAAGTTGAAATGTGAATTGACATTTTAAAGGTAAATCTTCCGAAGCAGATTTCCAGTAAAATTAACCATATGGATTCCACGTGCAACCTTTTTTCAAGCTGTCAAAAAACATCCTGGTCAATGATCTTTATAACCTAGTGGTGTATAAACTCCCTTGCAATTGAAAAAATACAAGTTCAACTTCAGGCTGTTAGTGTGTGCCCTTCTAGAGAAACCCTCTCAATTAAACGCAAGCACTTCCGGTTATCCGCGACAGGCCTGACAATTTCACCGAGTTATATGTCTGATTCAGCAAAGCTTGCATCTTCTATCCGGGGTAGTTAATCCAGCAGGCTAACATAAAAATGGTTTCTTTACAATGTATACTCACCTTTGAATTGAGAATGATTACCTATCCAAAGAATAACAAAAGAATTGAATTTGGATTTCTTTCAAATGAGAAAACAAATTCCCTCCCATTAAGCGAGCTTCTTTGCACGACCACTTGAAGGAGCACCATCCTCTTTCTTTGATCCAGATGCCTCAGGCTTCCGAGCCCAGGCAGGAGCCCTATCTGGTTCATAGCGATAATCATAAAACAGTTCCTCCCCGGCATTAATTCGTTCCTTGGCAAAATGCCTACCCTGTGATCCCCAGCAACCATTATAACCTGATACAGATGATGCGTTGTTAGATTGGCACCCAAAAGCCCTTCATGGCCATGCAATGTGAATTTACATCAAAGTATCTCATACGGAATCAGAATCAGAACTACGAACGAGATACCTTTGCATAGCAATTTGGATCAGGAGAATGATTGGCAAACTTCAATTTGTCACCTTTCCGATAAGCATCGAGAACAAACTGCATGAGTAGCACATCAAATGAGTCATCACTACGTGACATTCGATGGATGCATGACTACAAAACAATAAAAGTACTATCAACTTGCCTGATCATTCAGATTAAAAAGAAAAGATGAATTCTCACGATCATATATCTTTCCACGCTTATCCGCTTCCCTATGTGAAATTAACTCTCCAGTATACTCTCCAAGGTATTCATGCTTCCCAACGCTGTTCTGGAGAGTAGTAACCAGATGGCATCAGTAGGGAGTAAGTTTAAGAACACAACACTACAGCGCCATCGTTTGACAGTTACCTTTAAGAAGGCTCCCCATCCAGATACATCAGACCTTCCAAGAAGAACCTGTAAGCATAATGGATATAAGTTGCCACCATTGCGAATATGAAAAATGAAGAAGAACGCCCTCTCTCAAAAGGTGAACATAAAAGAACAGAGACAAATATTGTGAACTACTCAGTACTCCCTCTGGAACTATTTATAAGACACCTTTTAGAAATTATTTTTGGTCCAAAATATAGGACACCTTGTAATAATTAAACCACTTTTTTCAATTTTACCCCTTCTTGATTAGCATAAAGGTATTTAATGTAGTATTATTACTTAAAGTGAAGAATAAAAATGAAAGTACATCTTATTTCTTTATAATATCAAGAACAAAACTAATTTTTATTAAGATGTGTAAAACAGTTGAAAGTGTCCTCTAATAAGGATTGAAGAGAGTACATTGCAAAATGGGGACTAAAACAATGGATTTTTCCCAGTTCCCAAAATTTCCATCCTTAGTCTAGTAACTAGTAGGCTCATCAGCTAACATTGTCTTTCATCAGGATTTGTCTGCAGAAGTTTGATGACCCTAAATTCAAATTCTGAACGCCGAAACATTGCTAAATTAAAGAGAATTTTATTTCCCAGATTGATCTCATCCACTTCCCTTAATTATTAAAAAAATAAGTCTGAACATTAATAAACGAACATTTTTTGTTTCGAGAAAAAAAGAAGAGCACAATCCTAAATACCCAAGTGTAGACATTTAAAGGGAAGATACAAAAAAAAGACAGAAAAATACCCTTTGCTGCTGTTTGAGAAGAAGTTTCATATTCCTACATTCATAATTATCACCCCTTTGGCTAGGAATCCCAAGAGTGCCATCACCGCAGCTGCAAAAAATAGAATTAACAACCAAAATAGAAGAAACTAGCATATCATACACATACTGCTTAGTGATGAGTTAAAGCTTAATATCATAAACATTACCGTACTACATATTAAATTACATTGCTGAAACAGAAAAGCTAAAAATCTCAAGAACACAAGCGGACCTATTTTCTTTCAAATCCTCATTTGTTATCTATTCCTATCATCAAGAGGGAAAAGAAAGAATATATAATCGATAGAGACTTGGTTGTATGATATATTTAAGTCCCATAGTGAGTAACATGAGAAGCTCAATGGAGCATGTAAATGGATTAATTTTCCCACTTCAACAACTAGCTTTTAAGATTGAATTCCCCATCCCACTTTGGTGTCTATCAATAGTCAAGACCAAAAACGGAATAACAAACCTCACATACAGTTGAACATTTGTTGAGTAAACCATCAATTTAATAAATGAAATGATGACCAAATCAACGAAGCAGGTTCAGGATGTCTTTAAAGTGCACATGAAATTGCTCCCAAGCATAAATACTGAGTAATGAGTAATTATATTAAAAATAAACAAGGCAAATAAATGGGCATATACAATGCAAAACAAAATCTTACCCAACCCAACAATTCCTACAAACATCAGGATCGCATTCCCTATCTGCAGCAAAGCATGGGCACTGTCGACTTCGGCATTGGCTCTTTGCACAATGACAGCCACGGAAACGATTCTTGCAACTCTTGGGGCATCTGTGGAAGCAAAAAGAAAAGTCATGGTTAACTAACATTAAATGAAAATGCAGGCAGACAGCCACACCAAAGAACTAGTGCAATCTATCTATGTCAACAATGACTAAAATACCAGGAATCCTCACACAATGAGGCATTCGGAATTAATTTAAAAGCTTACCCACAGTACTTCTCACAGCAGGTTCCATTTTGAAGACAAGGACACTGCTTTCCACAAGCCGATTGGCAGCCACACGGGTTATATTGGCGACAGGGCTGATCCTTTCTCTCTGTAATCCTTTTCCTAATTGAATGATAAGCAGCAGATTTCCAGGTATACTTCAACCGACGGACTCTTCCTCTTCTGCGTAAAAACCTTGACCTTCGTCTTAGTTCATTGTTACCCTTCAAATCATAACTTGTTAGGTGAGTAGCAGGTGCAGCAAAGTGCGAAGCATAAAATTGCACAAAACATAGCTGCATTCAAGTCAACCTTAGAGTAGCCATCTAGAAGGGAATTTGCAGCATCACCAATAGGACCTGGCATCTTTCCCTCATTGCAATTTATATATTGAAAAACCTCCCAACATGTTTTCAGACCAGCTAAGAGATTCCTCGCTATAAAACAGCTGCAGGAATAATCAACAATCAGTAGTGGAAACATTCATGCATAGACATTGCAGAGGTCATTCTGCCCCTCCTCCCATTTAATCATGGTCAATGCAAGTGATTGAGTTGACCATAAGCTAGCACCAGTGGAGGCGCAAGTGGAATTTTCAAACATGTGAGTATAGACCAGATTTGACCCAAACCAGACGTATAAACCATTATTTACTCATTGATTAGATGACTAAATGCTGCACACCTCCACATAACATTCACCTTAGAAAAAAAATGCAGGAATAAGATATTACCGGGATAAAAATAAAATAAACTATGAACAACATG